ACCTACCGCCAACTCTTGGGCTACTCTTTTACCAACGAATAGTGGGATTGACCGTCACATTATAACGCCCCCACGGCTGAAAGGGCGAGCATGTTTGGTGTGACGGGGATTCGAGCCCGCGATCCTCGGATTGTGAGTCGAGCGCCCTAACCATCTGGCCATGCCGGGCCCCACTAGTTCTTATAACTCCTTTCATGGGCAAATAAATTTTTAAATTCAATAATCAAGTTCAAAAAAATAATCAAACATATTACCACAAATTAAACTACGTTTATTGTTTAAGTCGACATTTAGAAATAAAAACATGTTTAATTAAAATCAAAGACACTATCTAATCCTATGCGCTCGCAATCTGAGGGTGGCGGGTTCGATTCCCCGTCACACCAAACATGTTCGCCCTTTTAGCCGTGGGGGCGTTATAATGTTACGGTAAAAGTTGGCGGTGGGTGGTGATGACTAGCCGCCTTCCCTCTAGTCTTACACTGCTAAATTAGGGACGGTTAGCGCAGATAGCCCTCGTGTAGCTTTGCGCGAAATTCAAAAACAAAACAAAAACTATCCTATGCGCTAGTGGTTCGTAAGTAAATACACTTGTGGTATGTGTAAAGCTACCTAAAGTGGTAAACCTATACGTCACCTACAAATACATGCACATGAGCACATGGTTGAAAAGCGTACATCAAGTGCATCTTTCTAGTCGATTAACATGAAAAAAAGTTTTCATGAAATTTTCGAACAATACCAAAGCTATAGCCTTGGCAATTTTTTATGAAAAACAATTTTTTTGAAACACTTCGTAATGACAACAGAGAAGAGTTGTCGTTATTATTTAGTGTTGGGTGATCATTGAAAATGGAGTCTTTTTTTAAGCCTTGATTTGTCATGAATATTCCGGCTTTTTTTAGCTTTGGACCTGACGTGTTATTTTCCATTAAAGTCGTAGTTTTTAGTCTTGACTTTTTCCAAGAAATAAACACGATCAGATTTTTCATATCTTAATTCTACATTAAAATACACGTTTTTTTTTAATTGGTTCCAAATTCTCAGTGTTTTTATTTGATGATTGTCATTATCATTATTTTAAAGACTCTGTATTTATTCTTATATTTAAGAATTTCTTTATAAGGTTTTCTCTTAACAATGTTATTTATTAAACGTGTATGCCGCACGTTTTATCGTACATTCCATTATATTGTTACCGTTTAAACTGTTCTTTCTGAACTTCCGATTGAATATGAAACAACTCGCTCAATAGCTAGTGTTGTTTTTTGTAGTTAAAATTTTGCGAACTAACGTAACGTCCGTAATTGAAGAGTTTATACGATAATGGATGATTCTTGAATGTATATGTCTTTATTTGTTTGTTTATAGTTAAGCGCAAAGCTACACAATGGGCTATTTGTGCTCTGACCACCACGGGTATCGAAACCCGGTTTCTAGCGGTGTAAGTCCACAGACATACCACTGTGCCATTGGGGGCATATGTTTTTAACTTGTGAGGATGAAGTAAAAGATTTTAAGTCAAGCCTTAAGGAATACGATTGTTGTAACGTATTCTATCGTTGAACTTTTTAGATATTGAATTATAATCATTATTAGTAGCTCCCTCTAAATTAAGATATTAAAATACAGTTTATAACAGTATTTACAGTTATTTTTGCTGTAACGTTTCATCATGACTGTGCAGTCATTTGCTTTCACATTTATAACATTGTATGAATATCATGATATAAAATATTGATTCATTCAGATAGGATTCATTAATTTAGTTTTGTGGTGAATGTTTCATTATTCTTTAGTTTTTGTTATAATAAGAGTTAAAAGCAGATGATTGTAAAGTTTTGTTAATAATTCATTGATATTGAGAATATCGAACGTCACGTGCAATATATTGACGTCGAGAATATAGAATTCAGACAGACGATTAGGAAATATAGATATAAATAGCGTGAGACGAGCGGGAAGCAGCAGACAGATAATTGCAAAAGAGAATAAAGTTGGTGTGAAGTTAACTACCGTAGAAGTGATAGGCCTAACGTTTAATATGTTAGAGTGAAACTAACAGTAGAAAAGAAGATAATAAAAATAATTATATTCCGTCAAAGCATGGTTCTAAAGTAATTGGATCAGCCTGATTGTATTTTGACAAAAGAAACAGAGGATCATCAAGAGAAAGAAGATCAAACGATCATACACAGAATGCTAGTGCGATAGAAATAGAGAAGATAGTTCGGCTTGTCAACTGAAATTCTAAAGTAATTGAATAGGCCTAAGTGTATATTTGACAAGAAAGAGAGAACTACATATATAGTATTTATGATATGCCCATAATATCTATAGTGTTGAATAATTTATTGTACATAACTTGTTCTGAATATATATATTATTTTGAAAACAAGTGAAGTGCGTGCTGTATGTTCATCGTTGAATCTATCGCCAACAAGTCACAGATACCTATTGTAGAAGAATCCTAGGCCCAACGATAACATAATATATATTTTTACTATTAAGAAATATAACTAAAAGCCTTTCTATTTGACAGTTGGCAAAGAGCAGATTTTTAATCTCTGACAACACCTTGTAATGGAAAGAAACTTTTAAAGTACAGGAAGTACTCAACAGAATGGACTACAAGGTGAATGTGAAGACCAAGATATACCATGCCAATCTGTTGAAGAAGTATTTTGGGAGAGAAGAAGACCTAACGGATGCAGCTATTGAAACAGAGATGGATGTTGCAGGTGTGGCCATCATAGATGCAGAACCAGAAGACAGTTCCTTTGTCTGTCTCTCCTAACATAGGGTCTACTTAACAGGATCCCTCATCTTCATTTTGACCTTGTGTTGTCTGAGGTTTGTATTTCCTAATCTATCTGTATGCTGACACAGTAGATTGTGTTTCTCTTCCTATCAGTCAGTTTGACACTCATGTTCACGTCCTTGTACGTCTCATCTCTATACAGTGCCCTTAGGCTTAGTAGGTCCTTATCTTCTAAGACAACACATTTATAACATTGTATGAAATTCGGGACTGATACTATTTTATGATACTAAACAAATACTCTTGAAAATTTCATATTTATATGTTATTTTGTTTGTGGAATGTAGCATATTTTCTCATATTGTGGTTATAAAGATTTATTGTAAAATTTCTTTATTGATAAATTAAAACACATGTATAGTAAGAAATATATACTGCTCCCTTATTCCTTAAGTTACTAATTTATTTTATATATATATACTTTCACCACCAATGGGTCTATATATTGCATCATATTAAAAATACCTGACGAAAATGTGTAGTTTTATTGCTTATGGCAAAACTATTAAGGCTATCTGTTACGTCCCTAATTTTGACCTACCGACCAGACGGTAGGCAGCGCTCACCATTGACTTTTTGGTAACCTTTAACCAAAGAATGGTATGATTGACTGTAATAATATAACGCCCCAAGGTTGAAAAGGCGAGCATATCGATAGTTTTTTTGTTTGTTTGTGAATCTCTATAACCCAAAAGCAATTTGGTGTTAAACAGTAAGTTTAAAAACCCGATTTATATTCATAGACACCATTGATAATTCTAGGTTTAATAAACAACTAAGCTTGAACTTAAATAAAAGTAAAGACACAAAAAGTAAGAATAAATAACTGGTTTATTTCTTCAATATAGAAACGAATGTTTACATAACAGTTTTGCCTTGTTAAATATCCTGAGGCAAATATATATATTACAGCCTGTACAACATTACGAAGGAAAAGAAACCTACACACAAGAAGAAAGTGATTTATCAGGGTACTCGTATCAGTTGGAACAATGTAGAAAAGTGCGAGGAAAATAATTTGAGAATTATTAGTTTGTTAAACTGGCATACGGCTACATTATCACGTATCACAGGTTCAGGCTATCTACGATGTTACTAGGTTTCGGCAAATACTTTATGTGGAAAATGCAAGCTGAACGAGTTAATTCAGTGTATACACAAACATATAACACGTTCAGTTAATCACCTGTTTATCTATGTTGCTCTTTTCACTGTACGTGCTCCGTAATCATTTTTAAATAAATAAAAATGATAAAGACAACTTATGCAAACAAGCAGTGCATCAGAATTATTTAGGCCTAACTTTAAAACGTGAAACACTCCTTTCAAATGCAACTTAAGTTGAGTAAAACGACGCAGCAAAGAAGCACGAAAATAAACACAGTTTAGTATGAACATGAAAAAAAAAATAAAGAAAGAAAAGCAGTTACACACTATCTACATGAAACCTTTGCCAAACTATGATAAAAAAACACTCACAGCAAAAACTTGACATATATATCGCACCCTCGTTTCGGCCAATAGATTCTTCGTGCGGAATGATTTTCAACTATACAAGAGCGTTAAGATACTGACTCAATCCTATATTTGACGTCACCATAACTAGGATCTAAAAATCTTTTATAAACCTTTTTTTTTAATATAAAGCTTATATGTCCTTAAATCTCTAAAATTGTACATAGTTAACTTTCATTTTATTTACACATATTAATAAGTGCAACAATGATTTTTTCTACACTGTATATTTAAATATTTTTAAAAGTATTTAAGCAGACTTAGTCAAGCTTCTCACATCTCAAGATACGGAAATATTTTGTGAGTTATGAAAGGAAGTGAATATTGTAGAGCATGAGTCACGAAATAGTTTTCATCAACCAGTTACCTATTTCATATTAAAGACATCAAAAACCTATATAATATATATATATAGTAAAACTTATGTGCGTAGCGGTTGCCTTTGACCACCTTTAAATAAATACAGAACGGTTTTGACCCGATCTGCAGTTATATATATATATATACACAACACACACATACGTGTATGTATGTATACGGCCACAACGCACGCATATATATATATATCAATATACCTATGTTAATACAAATTTTAAACACGTTCAACTTACCCCTATTCCCAAAATTTGTTCCCAGTTTTCAGAAAAATTAGGCAGTAATGAAGTCTCACATCCGTAAGAATGTGATTACTATCGAATTATGAATGTTAAAAATAAAGTAGACAAAGCTAACACAATGAACACCATTTCAAAGTACAAAATACCTTCAACCTGCAAGGTCTAGAGTACAACGTTAGCTTGTGATATACGATTTTATAAATGTAATTATATCTCATTTAACCTAAGGTTATTTAAATAAACTGAAATAATCTCTTTGTATCAGTCCGACATCTTAACGTTTGATCAACTGACGTTAGCCTAACGTTATATTTCATTCTAGTGATGATCAAACCCTAAAATACGATGCTAATCGTATAGCGCCTCCGATCTTCAGTGACACAAGTTAATATAATTCCAGTGTCATCTCGAGAAACTGACAACAAGATTAAAGTTTTGATCAAAGAAAAATTACGATTTCTGTAGATATTAACTTAATATAGACAGTTTAAATGATGGGCTTTATAAATGTCTTATATTTGGTAAAATGACACAAAAAACATCTCAGGTTACTCAATTAATTAACGCATATTTTGTTTCTGACATACAGATGGACAAGTCCTAATTAGAGGAACGTTGGTAAATCCTTGTTGATGAAACTTTTTGACTCAAGCCGTCACCAGGATTCCTGATATTCAACAATGTCCTTTATATACTACATGCTACGTTTGGTGACAATCGGTCCAGCGGTTCTCCAGTTATAAGTAGATAAACAGAAACTTTGTTAAAATAATGAAGAGAGCTCCGATGAAGCTATAAACAGAAACGTCGAATCCGAAACGGTCGATGGAACTTACATAAAACAAGTTTACTATAAATAAAAGATGGCTTAGTTGTTGAAGGATATCAGAACTCGAATGTATTCTAGAAAGTTCGAAACAGACAAAAAAATTAAAGCTGTCTTTCGTTTGAGTTTATGAAAACAACTATAGATGTACACATAGCTAAAAGGGACAACAACAAAGTCTAGAGATAATGTGATACAAATACATGGCGGAAATAATAGTTATACGATTCAGAATTGAAATATGTTCACATTTTTTCTGTCATTATCACTATAATCGAACGTTTGAGGTGGCAAGTTACTCCTGTACTTACCGGAATCACTTAAGTTCATGTTTTCCTTTACCTCACACAAATTATTAAGTCCTAAATTTTTATATATACGAGCAACAGACAGTTTAAACGTGCTAGAAAAACCAAATTTAAGTTTATAAGCAGATAGAGAAGACGTGTGAAACGATTCACGTTATGTTTATTTAAGTTTATAAGCAGATAGAGAAGACGATTCACGTTATGTTTATTTAAGTTTATAAGCAGATAGAGAAGACGAAACGATTCACGTTATGTTTATTTAAGTTTATAAGCAGATAGAGAAGACGTGTGAAACGATTCACGTTGTGTTTAGCTGTAAACCGTTTAAATGCCAGAGTCCTCTCATATCATTAATATTGATTTCTTATATTTTGATAAAAATAAGAACATTGTATAACAAAAACAATGTTGTCATTATTTCTTCATGTTTATCTATATGTTCTTTTATACCGCACGTACAATTTAAATTTACTCAGATTTGTTTTTATTTAGTCGTTAATTTAACTCCACACGTCACGGTGAGACATGTCACCCTAGCAACTCAGTCGTTTATTTAACTCCACACGTCACGGTGAGACATGTCACCCTAGCAACCCAGTCGTTTATTTAACTCCACGCTTCACGGTGAAACATGTCACCCTAGCAACTCAGTCGTTTATTTAACTCCACACGTCACGGTGAGACATGTCACCCTAGCAACTCAGTCGTTTATTTAACTCCACACGTCACGGTGAGACATGTCACCCTAGCAACTCAGTCGTTAATTTAACTCCACGCCTCACGGTGAAACATGTCACCCTAGCAACTCAGTCGTTAATTTAACTCCACGCCTCACGGTGAAACATGTCACCCTAGCAACTCAGTCGTTAATTTAACTCCACGCCTCATACACAATAGGGGCTATCTATGCTGTGCCCACCACGGGTATTGAAACCCAGATTCTAATGTGGGGGGGGGCAACTAGAAAAGTATATTAATCATTATTACCTATTCAATGAATAGAGCTTCCGCACTAGTTTAAAAAACACCAATAAAATTTTACGTATAGAGAGAGAAGTAAAAGATACGTTTGTACTACCTGTTCTCAAGTGATTTTAAATCCATTAATTAGAAAACAAATTCCAAAGAAGAGGATCATTCACTCTGGACTCATGAAGTTGGCCCGGAACAAGATACGAACTAAAGGTTAAACCAGATACAGAACCTACCACAAGACATATCCATTCCGTTGATATGAAGTCATCCGGTTTCTTGAGAATAACTCAACATTCTGTGCATCTTTGACAATATTCAGGTATGTTATGAAACTTGACTTCCCTGAGATGGCAACCTGTCGTACACAAGGATCTGAACAAGACAACTATTAGTCCCGTTCCTTTCTGTTAAACAGAATATTTAATCCCATCTGGGGGGCAGTAAAATTGATCGTACTAAACTTGAAGAGGGAACAAAACTAATCCTCTGTTCTAGTTTCTGTATCAGTATCCACTTTACAAGGATATCCGACTGTTGAAAGGTTAAAAAAAAACTTGCTCACTTTATACAACCGACTCGAGTTGATTTTTTTTTTTGCTAAAAGCAAGACAATTTTATTCTTACAGCTAAATACAAAATTTCGTTTTTACGGTAAGTTAATGCTGAAATAATTTGGCAAAGATCCCTTGTAAGTATTAGTACTGAATATCTTAGTTGTCGTGACAACGCCCATTTGAATTTCTTATACTTCTCCTAAACGACTTGGTATTTCTGTAAATACTCAGAAAATATGTTTCGCTGTTAATTTAATAGTTCCAAGTAAACCTAATAAAGAGTTCTAGTTATTTGGTAGAGTTTTGTTAAACCAAACCTTTCCAGAGTCTCATTGCAAAATGTTCATTTGGTCTAAACAGATAAAACTCTGGTAGACTCCTTGGACTTTTAGAATTCAAGTTATTTCACTTCAGAAGTGATCAACGCAGTTGAGTTTCTAACACAACACACGTGCGTTTAGGTTAGGGAAGTGTTGTTAAAACACCAAGAAATCAAATACAAAGGATTATGATGTATATCACACTACGGGGTTACTGTTTTTGTTGAACCAAGTTATTTTCCTGAAACGTGACGTAGTCTGAACCACTTAACAAAGTACGCTGTTTTACCGCCAAAACGTTTATCACTCGGCTGTGGAATCCTTCTGTACATGGACGGTCCAACCTCACAGTGAAATTTGCAGTCTCAGAAAGTAATCGACTAGATTCGGTTCACATGGAAACAAATCAACAACGTGAAAGAACAAAACTGGATACTCCAGTCGTTTAATCCAATTAATGTATATACTTTTATATTAACTTGTGCAAACGAGTCGTATCGCTAATTTTTATTGCCGCCAACAATTAACAGATATATTCAGTTTTCCGTGGAGCCCGCTCTAGGTATCAGAGGGGGGAGTAATCCTCCACCACCTTTTTGACCTGGGGGTAAGTTCATTGAAGACCAGTTGGGCCGGACCGCGAGCGAGGCAGCATCGTCCGGATGAAGGTAGGTGTGTCGATGTTCAAGAGGAACCTGGTTTTTTGCTAGCTGTTGAGCCAGACTGAAGGAGATGGTTTCTGGAAGAGATTGGATCTGCTCTTGTATGACTCCGAGTCGTTCTTCTAACACAGCCACTCGTTCCTCCAGTGTCTCTTGCCGTTGGTTCATGTCGGAAACAATCTCATACACGGTGTTCTGTGTCTGGGAATAGAAAAAAAGAAAAGTCAAAAATACTGTTTGAAAAGTCGTAATTCTGACTAACTATTAGTGCCAGTGCCACAAATCATGCACATGAAATCACGGCAGAGGGTGCTGAGGAAAGTACGATATCAAAAGGATTTGGGTTTGAACTAAAAAATCTTTTCGAGGAAAAATAGAATTATCTGCTAAATAAGGTCAAGTTTCCTTCTACAATCAATTTTTTTTTTCAGACACTCTCTACGCATTTAAGTGTAGTTTCTTACGAAACTCGAGAAAATTGTTGAAAGTATGAAATATTAATGAATAAAAAGGAACTCTGATCTCTTGTGAATTAAAACAAAATTAAGAATGAATTATAAAAGACATCTAATTATATCTACCTAGTTGGTCGTATATCCGCAAACAAATATGAAATTTCACCTCATAAGATCACGTGGCAGAAATAAATTTGTCAAGAGATAATATAAATCTTATTAGCATTGTGCTTAGGTTCAAAATGAGATTCACATTATGTTCGATTACAATGGCTCAACCTTTTGGGCAAACTTGAACTCATTCTATTAAATTGTATTGGTATTTGCGAAATAGCAATGACCAAATGAACCTTAACCCTCGGACTTAAAGCTCCCGCGAGAGACACCACGTAAAGATCCGAGGTAATACATCGTGTCCAGAAATTATATTAACAACATTGTTTACTTAGTTATTGTTTAGATAGACAAGAGGGAAGTCAAAAGCACCCTCCGCCAACTTTTCGGCTTCTCACATCTGACCAAAAATATTGGAATTTGACCGTCACTTTCATAGCGTAACAACAACACTAAAGTGTGGAACACGTTTTTCGCGGTTACAGGACGCAAACCTTGAACTTTCGGATTCATAGTCTAATATGATATATCCGAAAAATGTTGCCCATAGCTAGACAATTTAAACTATTATTCCAACAGTTTCTTCGGTGTTATGAATAGTCCTAGTTATTCAACGATATTATTATTTTGTTATGTCTGTAAACCGAGTACACCAGACTTATCTAAGTAATTGATAAACTTTAAAATATTCAATCCGTGATGCTTACGTTTTAAGTAATAATATTTGCATTTTTATGTTTGTTTAATTGTATATTTTTACAACAAATTGTTGTAATCATATTCCGTGCTCCTTCTCAGAAGTTCCATTACTACAACTTTAAATTATCGTGTTTTTGTTCGAAATATCTCAGTTTTTATCGTACACTTGTACATATTCGTTTGAAACACGATAATTGTTAGATCTAAGACTAGTTTTCTTACCTAAAGGTCGGGGATGACGAGCAGAATTCCTTAGAAAACAATAAACAAGTAAGGGAATAAAACTTCTGTACGCACCATCTTTTGGTTCTTCGCACCGACGAACCCAAGCCAGGTTTTCTTACATCAAAGTGAAATATTTACATTTATATACGATTACGCTTGCCGTATCAGTTCCATAGTTTAAAACTATGTATCATTCCAAGTACAAAATACGTCTGTACATCTAATAAGAAAAACAATCAACAAACCGTGTATACAATAACTTCTCAAGTCCTACTTAGTTTTCACAGAGATTTGAAACTGATCAAATTTAAAACAAAACCAGTTAACACCAAGTTTATTGAACATCACCTTCGACTAATTTAATATCAACACCAAGACGAAAAGAAAACCAGTTAACACCAAGTTTCTTGAACACCACCTTTGACTAGAGTTTAATATCAACACCAAGGCGAGAAGAAAACCAGTTAACACCAAGTTTGAACATTAACTTCGACTAGAGTTTAATATCAACACCGGCGAAAGAAAACCAGTTAACTTCGACTAGAGTTTAATATCAACACCAAGACGAGAATAAAACCAGTGAACACCAAGTTTTTTGAATATTAACTTCAACTAGAGTTTAATATCAATACCAAGACGAAAAGAAAACCAGTTAACACCAAGTTTCATGAACACCACCTTCGACTAAAGTTTAATATCAACACCAAGGCGAGAATAAAGCCAGTTAACACCAAGTTTATTGAACATTAACTTTGACTAGAGTTTAATATCAACACCAAGACGAGAAGAAAACCAGTTAACACCAAGTTTATTGAACATTAACTTTGACTAGAGTTTAATATCAATACCAAGACGAAAAGAAAACCAGTTAACACCAAGTTTCATGAACACCACCTTCAACTAGAGTTTAATATCAATACCAAGGCGAGAAGAAAACCAGTTAACACCAAGTTTATTGAATATTAACTTCAACTGGAGTTTAATATCAATACAAAGACGAAAAGAAAACCAGTTAACACCAAGTTTATTGAACACCACCTTCGACTAGAGTGTAATATTAACATCAAGACGAGAATAAAAACAGTTAACACCAAGTTTCATGAACACCACCTTCGACTAGAGTTTAATATCAATACCAAGGCGAGAAGAAAACTAGTTAACACCAAGTTTTTTGAACATTAACTTTGACTAGAGTTTAATATCAATACCAAGACGAAAAGAAAACCAGTTAACACCAAGTTTATTGAACATTAACTTTGACTAGAGTTTAATATCAATACCAAGACGAAAGAAAACCAGTTAACACCAAGTTTCATGAACACCACCTTCAACTAGAGTTTAATATCAATACCAAGGCGAGAAGAAAACTAGTTAACACCAAGTTTTTTGAACATTAACTTTGACTAGAGTTTAATATCAACACCAAGACGAGAAGAAAACCAGTTAACACCAAGTTTCATGAACACCACCTTTGACTAAAGTTTAATATGAACACCAAGACGAAAAGAAAACCAGTTAACACCACCTTCGACTATAGTTTAATATCAACACCAAGACGAGAAGAAAACCAGTTAACACCAAGTTTTTTGAACACCACCTTCGACTAGAGTTTAATATCAAAACCAAAACGAGATCTTTCAGGAGTACTTACTACCGTGAAAATCTGAAAAATGACGTGTAAAGCTACGTCACACCACGTTAAAAATATAAAGTGAAACAACGATATGTACACCCCTGCATATTATATGTATATATATATATAAACACTACCGATTTCTCAGCCAATCACAGCATTAATAACTTCCATAAAATACCGAAGGATCTCGTGCTCAACTCTAGGAATGAGAGTACAAAATACCAAAAAATACAAAAAAAAAAGGTTGTGTTTTTCGCTTAATCTTGACACTAGGAACATTTTTACCTGTCAGTTCGATACAGAATGGCTCAAGTAGAGACGAGAATATTCATGGAGCATTGTTAATCTCGTAAATATACTCTTTCACAATATATAACCGAAACCAATACCTTTCGTAAAAAAAAAGGAACAATTTATCATCATAAAGTTTCAAACGGATATGAATAACTGAAAGCTTTCATGGATAACAAAAATTAATTATGAAAGAAGAAAAAAAACTGATAACACTCAGGATATCATTGTTGATACATGCAATGTTCTCTTGATAATTATCTTTTAATACATATTTTATCGATTAAAGATGTGACGTATAATATCTATTCAGAGTTATCGATTATTCAGAGCTTACAGTTATTACTTTACAAATTATAATCATTTAACACCCATACCGAATCAAAATTTCAAGTTATTTTGTTTGTCTGCATTTATTAAGAAATTAGTTTTTGCCTAGTTGTTATTCTGAAAAAAGATTTTTTTATATTTATCGGTTTCACATTACGTCATATACAAAGCTGCTATTCTCTGAGAAAACGTTCAAGTCATCGTGATTTATTTGACAAATTTCACGTGTATTAGTAACAACTTCAGCCACTTCAGTAATGGCGTACTGTTGATAATTATTCAGACAAAACGCACATAGGAATTTAAACTCGTGTATGTCAAATGAGAAACTTGTTAACTGTTACACAACAAACGAACAAAAACGAAATATTAAATGATAAATGCACAGATTTATATATATAATTAAAAAAATTCCTTACTCGTGCTGTAAAATTATAATTAAAATGAATTTGTTTAATTAATTATCACAAGAGAACGAATAAAAACAGTTTGAGTAAATATAGAACGTTGTTACCTTAGCCATATCGGTAATTGTGCTAGCGTTGTCCGTTAATTTTCGTTGATCCATTTTTACTTTTCTTAGTCTGGAAGACACGTGATTATGAGAAACTCGAATAATCAACACGAGCAAAATCAAATCATTTTTTTTTAAACATAGATTGTTATTCATTTCCAAACAGAGCTCACAATTAAATATTCTATAACTGATTCAATGCTGAGTAGAAATATAACGTTTTTAGTGTTTCGTGAAAACTGAAATGAATATGCAGTTAAAAACACAGGGTAAAAGGTTTCACGAAATTTTTGGTAGTTTTAAATCTAAATTTTAAAGTTAAAAAGGATACAAACACAAGTTAGTAAAAAGTTTGGATACCTTGAAAAATCTGTAAGATCTGAAGTAAAAATATGGATATTACGTTCTTTCTGATCTAAACTTGGAAAAAACGTTCATAGCAATCCATCCTGATCTAAAACCAGAAACATCCCCAAACATGTTTACAGTAATCTCTCGTGATTTAAAACCAGAAGCAACATAAACACGTTCACAGTAATCTCTCGTGATTTAAAACCAGAAGCAA